GAGGGGTCTTCTCTCTCTCTCTCCGTCTCTCTCTTCTCGCATAATGAACCTTGTTCCCATCGCTTCTAATTGTCAACCACCGGCACGTTATTTACCCCCTGAGCGAGGCGAGTTATGAAAGGGGGTCGACGCGAGACTCACCTCCACCTTCTCCATCCCTCCCGTAAGTACGGGCCGGCACACGCCTTTGGCACGGGCGCCGCGCTTGTATCCGTGGTGACAATGCAAACCGAAACAAACACTTAGCGGCACGTGAGCGGCACGTGGCCGACAGGATATATTACATTCCGAATGCACACACACTTGACGGACGATTAAAGGGTGTTGCACGCGCGAAGAACCATGATGATCGTGACAACGATATCCTCCTATCCTTTCTTCTTCCGTCGATCTACCTACTAATCGTGCTCGTTGCACATCCAGACGCTTGTAACGTATCCGTGTTGTAACGTACATGTGTGTCTTTTCTTTACATCGAAAATTTTACTGCTAACAATAAGTTTAATTAAATTAATTGTCTGCAATCGTACGTTTACTCCCTCCGTCTGCAGTCTGGATCTTTCAACTGAAATGTTGAAATCTTTATTTAATAAAAATTAAATTTGAGTAAAAATAAAGAAAAAAATAGAAATTTCGGTTTAAAAATTTATCAGTAAGAGATCGGACTCCATCTTTTCTCTTTATTTCGGGGAAATTTGAGGGTAAAATTTCACTTACTAAAAAAATCAGACGGAGGGTTAACGTAAGTGCTCGATTAAAATTATGTTGTAATTACAGAATAGGAAGAAATATAATAAACGAGAAATCTATTTTACAGCTTCAATCAAGCTTCAATTTCAGGAAATTGTTCACTCTATATAATTTAAATTTACACAAACATAGTATAATTATTGTTTCAACTAAATTAGAATTGTATATTCTTATTCTAATCGGAATTTTGTTAACTTCTAAGAGTGAGAAATTTTTTTAGAAATTTCTAATTACAGATAATGATTCTATTTTAATTAGAAGCTCGACAATGTAAACGAGTACGCTGAGATCGCAATCGTCTGGATTACACAATGCGCGATAACGTTGCAGTAACAGTTATAAATCGTTATGTCTAAGATTGTTGTTTGATAAATTGCGCTAAGATGCATTTCTACCAATGTAGCTCAACTTTAATCTCGAGTTACATATTTCTTTTCTGATTCTTAGAAAATTAGAACAAGATAAAAAGTAAGTTAAATCGAGATTAAAATGATATTGATCTATATTGATCTTGATAAGAAATGGACATAAGTCGAACGCTTTTAAATTATTAGTAAATGTTTATCTATGATTTAGTATCTATCTACCTACCTCTGAATACTCATTCTCTCCTCGACCCTGGACTCCTCGACCCTCTTATCATACGCGCAATTATTTTATCGCACGTGCGATAATGCGTTTACCTTCGTGCAACGTATTTAAGATAATGCAATAATAGTTGCTTTTAAACTGTAGCATCATTGTTATTCGGAGCACGTGTAAGTCTTACGTACACGTGTCGTAAATCTTTGCGGTAACGTAAGTCTTCTTCGTAACTCCAACGATTTATAATTTGCAATTTGCTAGTTGCGATTTGCAATTTGCTAGTTTCGCGTTGCAGGATTATTGTTTTTGTTAAATATCAAGCTTTTTTTTATATAAAAGTAAAATCTAAATGCGTAAAATGTAAATGCGTTTGTCGCACGGATTTGTGACGGATTTATGGAATATGTTAATCAGTATTGGAAAAGAAATTGTTTGACGAAAAAAGAAGTTGTTTATCTGATAGTAAATTACCTTCTTTGATTGTCTTAATTCTATGGACAAATGCAATATTAATTCAAAATTCTACAGTATTGCAACTTTGATTTTATTTCCGTATTGAAATTACGATCATCACAATACACGTTAGGAAGATACGTTAGAAAGATAATTTGTTTTATCGTTTTTGCTTATCAATTAATTGAGCTAATCGTAAACTGCGTGCTTTTCTGCACAGCGTTGGTTCTTAGAAGATTATCTATAATAGTGCATAAAACATGAATAACATGAATAATGTTTAGTTACGCTAAACAGAAGATAAAATGCAATAAAATTGATTCAGCTGTATTTAAAATGCGCATTACACTATTTCTGTTTCTCTCGATTTGCACTTGCACGTGCGCAATAATAGTTTTGCAAATCGTACTATTGCCAGTATTCATATTATAGTCGATTCTTATATATTTAAGATGTGTCTTAAGTACAGTCTTAATGTCATGAATCAAAGAATCATATTAGCATCTTAAGACATTGATTTAAGATGCTAATATGGCTAATATTAAGACTTAAGATGATCTTGAAATAAGCACCTATGACTATATGAATTCCGATCATAGTTTTTTGCAAATCGCGCCATTGTAATCGTAAATTTTCTTCCCCGCGACGCATAGAGAAATAGAAGAGGAGAAACAAACTTAGGAAGAGAAACGGAATGATTGGGAGAGAAAACGGAGATGTGGAGTGGAGGAAGCGCGTTTTAAGCGCGCGATGCTCGAAGTGCCGCGGGATGCGGCGGTGACGGCCGTTATCTTCGTCACGATCGAGGAATGTAATATCGTCACCCCAAGCGACAAGAGTTGCCTTCGTATCGCCGTTTAGAATACCGTTGTCGTGGGGGGATACGGGGACGGGGATTAAACTGCAATGAAAATCCACTCATTCTGCGCTCCACCGTCGCCGCCCTCTTCTCTTTTCCGCTTCACATTGCCAGCGCCGGGAGAAGCGAGTAAACAAGATATTGCTTTGTACGCCCTCCTCTCTCGCTTCCGTTTTACCGTTTTACCGGCGACTTCTCTCGCGTTTTCCCCGTTATCGTCTTATCTCACGCGCACGACGTTCTGCCCTGACAGGAGCAAGAACGAAGAGAGTTGCTCACTCTCGGCCAATCGACAGATACATCCGGTGTGTTCAGACGACTTTTGCTCTTTAATTATCTAACAAGATTTAAGTTTGTAATTATTGCATTGACGAGAATTAATCGAGACAGATAAACCAAAGCAGTGTCTACAGTAGAGTAGGAAAGCTTTAAGCCGTAAAAAATTGACCGATCACACAGTCGAATGTAAGAAAAATAAAAATCGACTAGGATTGGTTAATTTCTTAAAGCGAACATAAATCCATGGTATCACATAAAAATTCATGGTATACAAAAAAACGTAAAGCAATAAGACGCAATGATTTATTAAGCTAAAAATACATGAAAAAACAATAAGACAATAAGACTTAGCAGTAAGTGACCAATGACAAATTGACCAATCACAGTAGGGGTCATAAAGTAATTTTCTATTGTGATTGACTAATTCGCTTGCTGCTTAAGTTTTTTTATGCACCACAGTTTTAATAGGGAAGAAGATGTATAACAAGTCGCGCTTATACTTAACGATACTTTATTATTTTTATTATTACATATTATTATAAATCTATCATTTTGACACATACAGTACTTACTAAGATCTACTGATGATTTTTTTTTAACGATAGGATGTGTATAGCCTATAACTAAACATATATTTCGACATTGTTGCTTTACTCTTAGCGGAGGAACAAAGTGAAGTATCGCGGCGTGCGTTTCGTAATGATTGAAAAATATATGAGATTAGTAAAATATATCGTTTATCACCGTTGTAATTCGTTAAATATTCGATCGTTACAAGATTTTCACATTTTGAGTACGTTGGCCATTGCAATGTAAGATAGGCTTGTTTATTTTTATAGACTTGTTTACCAAAATAATTTAGATTCGGCAAATTTCAGTTTTACTGTTGAACATAAATTACACAATTAATTTGAATTTTCAAAAGTATTATTTACGAGTGTTATGTATTTTTAATTAAATATCACTTTACATACAAGCATCGAATTAATATACTAATCGATTATGTTTCAACAGTGCTGGTTTTAACAAAATTTAGATTTCAACAAGATTTTTTCCATCTCTATATTGTTATTTGTTACAAAATTTAACTATATCCTATAACTTTTGATTTTTATGAGACTAATTGCGCACTTCAATTAAATGATATTCCTTTTAATAAATTAAATCTTTTTTGCAATACGCAATTACTGTTTATTAAATTTTCAATTTAAATTATACTCATTTGTTTTAAATCTTGGACAAAACTTGCGTTAAAGATTGCTTTGTCAAACGCAATACGAAACGTAACGAATTAAAAGCGTCATTAGGGACCATTATTATCTTCAAAGCTGCGGCCACTTCAACATGTGAAATGGAAAACGATATCCTAGTTGTAAAATGTCATATAGGTATTCACAATTACGTATGGATCGCGCTACGGATTCGCTGTATGTACACCAAATGTCTACTTGACCGCTTACGGCTAAATGGGACGAGCGGGGATGCTTTACGTTAAATCCACTGAAGAAAGATTCTCCCCACTATAACAGAGTGCTGCGCATATATTTGTCCGGGACTCGTATTTACAATGCCGATATTAATCGACCAGAGATACAGAAGCGACCTAAGTTCGTCTAACCGACAGATCCGGGCAACAAAAGTGAAATCAGGGGGAACGCGCGGGACAACTTATTCACACAACTTTGTTCGCAAAAGCTCTTTCGACGAATGGAAGTACATTATTGTTCCACTTTTCCGGTTACTGTTGACGAGGTTCATAATAATTAACATTACCAGGATAATTAAAGATATATTATATGCTCAAAGAAAGAAACTGCTTTTTCCTGACAATTGTTACTATACTAAAAAAAATTTTCAACTATAATTTGATTAAAAGTTTTTTTATAATTATAAAGAAATTTTTTATCACCACTGGGTATATATAATAGTGATAACAAAAAATTTTAATCTTTCGAAAAAGAGATATTTTATAGAAAAGAATTTGTAAAAAATTATAAAAGATTCACATTTGAAGTATAATTTTATATTAGCAATAAATTAATATCACTATAATGCATCTACTTCCACTAGCCGTTTTAAAAAGTAACATGAGAATGTCAAATAAAAACACTATACCCTATTGCACTACGCCTTTTTACAGAGATGCGCTGATATATATGGGATGCGCTATTATCCTCAATATATCTTTATTAAGTCGATTCATATATCTTTCTATAGTTTCTGCGACGCATTTTGATTACCTACTCGGTAAGAAACGTCTATTAGGAATTTTATGCGTCAGAATTGGTTTGATTACATGAAGCATGACTTTCACTCATCTTATCACAAACAAAAACTAAGAGGTTGTAGAATACACAAATAATCTGAATTTCGATCTCGATGTATTTGTCCCCCTTGTCCCTTGCAATTGTTGAATATTTTATCGCGAAAATTTACAGCTAATACATGCAGAGCGAGCATCTTGCTAATTTTCAAAAATCCGCATCGGAGGTTATTATAAGATTTAGTACAGATAAATTTTGCCCAAATAATACAGAAAACATTTACGATGTAATCAATATAACGAAACATCGGTATTCTTATAAAAAGCGCTGAAAATTTTGCTTTAATTAAAACTCTCTAATAAGAATCTAAATATGAAACCATTGTTTTGTATGCAGAGTAGTAATTTTAATAAAAATCTGTGAGAGAAAAGGACATACATTTACTATTTCTTTTTTTTTATTCTGTTTTATTTTTTTTATCTATTTCTCTCTCTTTTTCTTTTTCAGGAATTGTTAAAATATTGCAGATCTATCTAAAAAGTAGCTTTTTCATATTCATATTCTCTTATTAGAGAGTTTCTATGCTTTAATGATATATATTTCTTTCTTCGTCCATGAATAAACTGTGATTTATAGGAAAAACGATTTTTAAATTACGAAACATCATGCTCCGTTTATTCACGAGATTAAGATGTTTATTTCATTTGGACAGCATTGGTCAAATAGAATATTGGCTAACGACATCAATTACCATTTGGAAAGAGTAGTCCTTTGCGGTGCGATTGTTTCAAACTTTCTCGAAGCACATTCTTCATCAGCCAAGTTTCTAATCAGTCTTTGATGATTATGATTCACCAACGCGATCGAATTTAGTGTTCACTTCGCGATTCTATCACTCTTTTTCGTAAGAAGAAAAATTATGATTTTTTCTTCCATTCTTTATTTCGAGGGACAGAAGCTGAAGCTTCTGAACTCAAATTTTCAATATTAGCGAAATTGTCTTGTCCAATAATAATTAGGAATTCTTCTTACAAGAACACGCGTTTGACGCTTACAATTAATTATACCACTTCTGGCCCTCTCAAAATTAGTAATCACGCTAAGCTCGTAAAGAGCTACAAAGTGATTAATACTTTCGGAAAGTCACCGTATGTCTTTGGAAAAGAAGATCGCCAGATTCCTAGACAAGCGGCGAGAAGGCAGACGCCTGGCTCCTGATCTCTCTGTGCTCCGACGGGCTGAGATCCAGCAACGCGCCGCAGTTTTGATCGCTGGCTGCTTGCTTGCCGATGAGCGCATCGATGCTGAAATTGCGCTTCTTGTCGACGCTCGTCGTATGACTAGCTGGCAACGTCGTGATCCTGGTGGAGGTCGGATCGATTTGCCTGATCGGCGGCGCCGTGATGGGCACTGGTTTGTAGAGCGGTGGCGGCGGTTCAAGGAAACCGCCGAGTTTCAGCGCCTCCAGGGTAGATGGAGAGAAGTCTAGTAAAGGCAGACCGGGCGGTGGTGATAGGTAAGCGGCTCCAGGATAAGCCAGAGCACCCGGGTGACTGCCACCACCACCTGGACAGGGTCCTCGGTCACCACAAATAGCGAAGGTGGCCATGATCGCTCGGTCTCGCAGCACGTAGTGCGGCGGCGGCCTCTTGTATCGCTTCCTGCGTCTCAGGAAGCTACCATTGTCGAACATGTCTTCCGCCAACGGGTCCAGCGTCCAGTAGTTACCCTTTCCCGGGTTTCCAGGCTCGCGTGGAATCTTGATGAAGCAATCGTTGAGCGAGAGATTGTGCCTGATAGAATTCTGCCAGGCGGGGAACTTGTCGTGGTAATAGGGAAAGCGGGACATAATGAATTCGCAGATACCGCTCAACGTCAGCTTTTTCTGCGGCGACTGTAAGATCGCCATGGTGATTAACGCGATATACGAATACGGCGGCTTTATCAGGGACGACGACATCTTGTCGGAATTATAACTGGATGGGGATTGATTGGAACTGCTAGATTTTCCTGATTGACTCGATGCCGACATCATCGAGTACGTTTTCTTTGAAGAACGTCCGCCGCCACCGCTTCCACTGGTGCTTCGACTCCTGCCGGCCGACGGCGGCACTGACGTCGGCGTTGGTACCGGCGAGCAGCTCGGTATCACCGGGCTCGACGACGTCTGCGACGGCGGCGACAGGTCGTTCTTGTCGAGACTCACCGGGTCGACGATCATGCTGCTACTATCCGAGTCCCGGTCGCTGTCCGCGCAGCCGTCGCACGACAGGTTCGACATCATCATCGCACGTGGCTCCATCGTGATCGCCGCCTCATGGGCATAAGGACTTGCCACCGAGGTGCTCGTCGTTTATTTCGTCGTCGATCCTGCGTTTGGTTCTTCAAGATTACTACTCGCTCTCATTCTCCATTAAAAGTCCAAACTCCGCCCGGTACAAAATTTTATCAAAATATTTCTCTCTCTTAGTATTTCTCTGATATGAAATCTGCGAGTTACTTATTAATAAGAACAAAATTGAGTATTACAAGCTCTAGACTAATCATACCAAGTGCCGAGATGTCCCAATGTGAGTTATTTCACTTATAAAAACATTTCTTAAGAATTAGTTGTATCAATTCTTGTCCAACATCTCGAAAGAAAACTATCCGTCAGAATATAACAAAAATTCACACTAATCATTCACAAAATTTCTTTGGTACAAATAGTTGCTACATATAATATTTCTATAACGATTTCTTCTGTTGAGAAAATTACACTGAGTTTAGTCTTCTCAGTTTTTAAACCAGAAGACCCGCCATAACTTAGTCAACTCGATTTATTCGAATAAGTAACGTTATACGGACACTAAACGATTCTTCCACGATTAAGTCACACTTTTCGAAATTCTTTCGCGGATTGTCTGTGGAGAAAACACATGAATAACTTCTGTTGCGATATATTTCAACAGAGCGACTGTCACATTCAATCCATCGCTCTATCCTCCGCTTGACGAGTGCTATCTTACGCTAATAGTTTGTTTCCACAACGATAACGAGACTTTTTTCGTTTCGCTCTGCTTCTTCGTCTTGTTTCCACCTGCGGGTTCAAGCTGCGACGTCGCACACGTCAATCGTCCGACGAGGCATTGTCAAGGATGTCTCCCACGATCCGTCTTCATTTCATTGTACACTTTCCATCAGCAAATCTTTAGTATATTTTCGTTAGTTTAGCTAAAAAATCGCTAAAAAATAATCTGCAGTCACACACGAGATTATACGATCTTGCTTCTTCATTAAAGAACTCGATGATTTTTATTCGAACTAAATCTGCCGAAAGTCGACTTAAGACTTACATCGAGATTTCACTCGTGAATTTTTCGCGGAAACTGTCATGAGTTCCTTCTGGCATTGACACTGATTTTTTTCTGAGATTAAGACGAACCGAGATCGAACGTCACGAAACTCGCGGACGACGAAGGGTACACGATCGCGAGCGGAGGATCGTCTACGGGGTGAGATTGAGGCTTGAATTGATTTGAAGCGACCGCTTTGGTCCTACGTGGGCGGACCAATGGGCGGGCGTTTCAACCCCCACCTCAGCTCGCACCCCGTTAGACGAAACCACCCCAGTCGGTCGGACCGACGTGTTTCCACCCTGTGAGGGCTGCAAGAGTGGAGGAGCGACGTGGAAAATGGGGAGAAAGCCCCGGAGGGGGTTAGGATGGGAGTTAGGAAAATAGCGGGATAGTTAAAGGGACTTTCGGGGCGGGGGTTGGAGAGGGCGGGAGGACGAAATTGTAACACTTCGAAGGCTGATTTGCTTTGAGCGGCGCGATGAAGATGGAACGCGAGTCGTTGATCTACGAGCAGTCGCCGGCGACGCGATCTTCTTCGTCGTGCGATTGCTTTCTCGACACCAATTTCGTGACGTCCCTTTTTTACAAACGGTGCTTTAAAAACGTTGGACTGAGAATTGATTTAATTTAGTATCTGTAGAAAATTAAGAGAACATTTTTTTTAATTTTGTAGTTTTCTAATTTTTTAACCTCCGTTTTTTAATTTAAAAAAGTTTCAAACAGAGATGATATAAAAAGAACTCTTAATAACTTAAGTGTTGTGTTGTGTTTGTTTGTTTGTTATGTTTTGAACATTTCATTTTAATTAGCTTAATATGTAAAAATATTTTCAATTTACATGTTAGATTATTTATTACGTCGAAGAAGTATTTGGAGAAAAATTCCTGTTTAAATTTATCTAAAAATATATTCTAGAATTAAATTTTGCCTTCTAAAATCCCTATGAATTGTTTCAAGCATCTCATTGCGTTTTTACACTTTAATCTTATTGATTGAGTAACCTGACGCAGTAGCGATGTAGGGGTTAAGGAAATAACTAAGCGCCATTATCGCATCGCATTTTCATCGTGGAAGTGCTGCAACCAACCAACCAACCATCGACTAGATTCGTAGAATCGCCAACAGAGCGAGACGAGCTGCACGCATCACAAGTTAACTTCCCTGAGGCAGCTCAAATAGAATCTGTATTACGCCAGAGCGGTACATAGAGAGAGAAAGAGAGAGAAAGAGACAGATAGATAAGAGAGAGGGAGAGGGAGGGAGGGAGGGGAGAGAGAGAGAGAGAGAGAGAGAGAGAGATTGCTAGGGGTGAGAAACGTGCGCGAGTATATGTATACGTATAGTATACGTATATTAGGTTTGATAAATGACGTAACATTCACTATAAAATTTACTAAATATATTGGTAAGTGTAATAATTGCTACTAATAAAATAACACGTTACACACATACACACATACACGCACACACATACATATATATATAAAAGATATAATTTATTTTTATTAAGTTTAATGAAAATAAGAATGTTACTTGTTATAAGTATTTTATATTAATACTATTTTAAATCACTTCAGTTTTTACTTAACGAGTTGAATTTCATCTTAATTTATTTAATGCAATTTATCGACGAAATTTTAAATCTTTAAGTCAAAATATTTCTTAATTTCTGTTTTCTAATAATAATACGGATAGTATTATGAATTTGGTGGATTTTTTTTTTTTAACAAATTTATTTAGATCTAGGATGAATATATCGAGACATTTATGACATTTGGTACGAGCGAGAGAGAGGGAGAGAGAATCGGGATGGGCGAGAGAGATGGGTACGGAACCGCGATATAGATGCGGATACGAGTCTACCTGGGCGCACTATCGGTTCACAGAACCGAGCCGAGCCGAGAGCGAATATTGTGTTTACTCGTACGCATGGCTTTGCGGTGCAAATAATCTGGTATTATTGCACTTACTCCACGTATGCGCGGGCGAAACTCTTCTCTAACTGCCATCCCCCCCTCCCGCCGCTTCCGCTTCTTTGTCGCAATGCTCTTCGCGCCGGATTTCAATATCCGTTCGCGCTAATGTTAATGCGGCGTATTGTGTCGTTGTGTCTCTGAAATCTCACGACGCACAAGATACTGTAATGATTATTATTCGCTATCTTGCGTTCTATATTGCCGTGCTGTTTCATCTATTGTTTTATATATATATATATACTCGTACTTTAACACATTATTTCTAATTGTTTGCAATTGTTTTGTAATTATTTCTAGTTTAATTCAAAATGTATTCTGTAAATTCTTTTTGGAATGGAATCTCACTATAAAGAGAAAAATTCAGGCACTCTTGAAAACGAGAGGCTTAATTTTCAATCTTTAAGAATATTTAAGAATGAGATTTCACTCTTCAGAATAACAATTCATTCTAAAAGTTTTAAAGAGTAATTTAACATTTATCTCGATAAACTTCAAAAATGATTTTATCCTTAATTAATTCGTAAGAGTAAAAGCAAAAACTGTAAAAAATGAGAAAATATATAATAATATCTAGAGTTGATCAACGAATGTTGTTATTGTTTTAAGCACAATTTTTACTTTTATCTGTGCAACAATACAATAAACTGTCAACTGATAGCTTTAATCAGAAACAAGAAATTGTATTCTATTATACAAGAAACGTAACGTGGCGATTTAATACAAATATTTTCGCGCGTTCCTCACAGGATTTTTCTCATGCGAAGAATATCGCAAAGAAGTGTTGAAAAGCTCTGTGCCTTTCGGTCTTCCTTGCCGATTCAGCGATTACCGCATCTTAATCACAAGTTCTGACCGACGAAGACGACCGGATAGAGGAAAGGAAAACGCGGCGCGCCTGCTCCATAGAACTCTTCGAGGTTCGCCATTCACTTCACGGCGGATTGCGGATTCCGAGAGTTCCACTATTCGATCCGATTGCTTCTTACCCTGGACTCTCGTCGCTCGTATTTACCTCCTGATTTCTTCCCTCTCGCTCCCTTCGTTCCCATCGGTTTCCTCAAATCTGCTGGAAATTCCAAGGCGAACCGCGGTCGGGTGTCGACTTTATACTCGCGGCTATGAAACTATGAATAGTGGAATCTGCTAGATTCGGGATCGAAGACACTCGATTGGATTAATCTTTTTTGTAATGATTGTTCGAATGTTCTTACATAAAATCCATAATTGATATTAGACATAGTGTAGTATTTTTATGTAGATAATTATATTATTCAGAATATATATGAATTATTTATTGTTTAAAAAAAAAATGAAAGAATATTTGGATACTTAACTTGAAGAAAAAAGGCTTTAAGAATATATAAGTGGAGTGAATTTACGCTGAATTTGGAGTCGGATCATTTTGAATTGACTAATTTTTTTGTCATCAAAGAGATTACTCGAACATTTTAAAACTCGTAATTAACATTATAAGATATTGTGTGGTTTTTAAGTATATGGAAAGAACGATTTTGCTAAAATATCTAAAAATTTAGCTAGATACAGATCTAACAATAATATTGTTAGTTCATCAAAATATTTGCGTAAAAAGTTCAAACATGATAGGGAATGCTGCAAATAAATTTTGATATTTTAGTTATCAGTGTTTTATATAATTATTTGAGTGTTCTATGTAAATTATTTTCATAGTCCAATAAAATTTATTTTTAGATTTATACTTAGCTAAATTTTTAGGTACTTGAGCAAAATTGTTCTTTTGTAGATAATTGTTATTTAGAATATGTAAATTATTTATCATTTGAGAGAAAAAGATGAAAGATTATTGTACCTTGATAATTTGATAAATTACACTATTTATCAAGCAAGGATATGAATTGAAAATACATATATCTACGTATTTAATAGATATTATTTAATCTTCATGAAATATATCAATGAAATGTATATCCAATAATACTATCAGTTAAATTTCTGACTATATTGAAGTTCCAATTAATTGAATAATGTTATAATAATAAATATTAGAAAATGTAACACTAAAGCAAGCAATAATTTACGCTACACCGTTTTGTAGAATAATATTAAAATGCATTTTACAAAATACAAAAAGAATTCTTGGAAATATTCGCAACACACGCGTAAAGGGATAGATTCATGAATTAAGGAGAACCGCCGACGCATTTCGTCGTCATAGCACTGCGACCTAAAATCCTCAATCTCGCGGGAGAGCAGTCGACGTTGAAAAATAGAAGCGCAGTCGCTTTTGCGGTGACAAAAGCTGCGCGGTGTGCAACATAAAGCTCACAAAGAGTTCAAAGAAGAAGAAAAAGAAA